CGAAGTCGGACGGTAACACAGGTAAGAAGTTACAGAGAAATAAATAAAAGTACAACGCGGCTCTGCCTTTCCCGGCTCCGACGTTGAGAGCTGTAATTAATTGCCCGAAAGCTTTGACAGGCCGTTCCCCCAATCCTCATCTCTCCCGGTAACAAATTAAGACCGATGTCTCAGAGCAGGACGGGGGGAAGCAGAAGATGAACCAAAATGATCTCTCACGGTCCATAACCGGGACCGGTTACAAACTGCTCCTTTCCAAGAGCGTGTTTACCTTCAAAGTTTGTCCGGGCCACATTTGTTTAAAGTTTAGCACCTCTCTCTCGTTTGAAAAAGAAACTACAAAAGCCCATTGGAAAAGCTGAGTGTTAAGCTGAAGAATGTATGTGATGGTGATTTATGGCCCTACAGACTTTCTTGTTTACTTGAAGCAGATCCTAATTACAACGGCTTCTAAAAAAAAAAGAAAAAAAGAAAGAAAGAAGGAAAGAAAGAAAAGAAATCCCAAGCTCTGTATATGTCCATCGCGAGGGTTCCCTCCCCAGGTCCGGCTGTAGCGGCCAGATGTGACTTACAAACATCTGGCTTCTTGAGCTCCTTGTCTCTGTGGTGGCCAGTGAGTTTGACCGAAATGGGTAAGGCAGAAACTCTTAAACATTTGGCATGAAATGAGAGTAATTTGGAGAGTCCGAGCATGAGAATGTCAGGCTTTTAGAAAGGGTTGTAGTTTGGTTTGGTTTGGTTTGGTTTGGTTTGGTTTGGTTTGGTTTGGTTTGGTTTGGTTGTGTTGGTTGAGTTGGGTTGGGTTGAGTAGGATTGGATCGGGTTGGTTGGGTTGGTTGGGTTGATTTGGGAGAGAGATGTACTCGAAAATGGTTCATCTCACACAAATGCCATATCTGCCAAAAGGAAACAGGAGGGAGGGTGAATTTTCATATGGAAATACAGGGTGCAACGTTTTCAATGGACTTTTAGTCTTCGTTTCGTGCTCAGAAATCCCCCCTCCCCCCCCCTCCTCGCACATCCCATGAACTCCCGGTGTAGATTTAAAGAGTGAGGCAGGAAACTCGTTTGCACGGAGGGCAAAGAAAAAATCAGAAAAATTGAATTAAATCTGGAAAGTTTTTTCTAAACATGTATCTATTTGTGCTCTCTGCTCTCCTCTGCTTCCTTTCCCTTTAGAACAAGAGAATAACTCTGCCCTCTGGACAAGTTCCCAGTTCTAAAAACGTCCACATGCATTGTGAAACTTGAAAACTTTGGACTCAGTGTCTGATATTTCCCGAGGCAAACTGTTAAATTGGCAGAGAAAATATCTCGGATATACGGCATCTATTGGTTGGGGGGTGGGGGTCCTTTTTGTGTGTGTGTGTGTTTTTTTTCCTTTTTCTTTCCCCTTGAAGATTGCTTTGCATTAAATCTCCCCAGCTTTAGAATTATCTGCTCTCGCCTGAAGCTAAAGCTGAATATTTTTTTCTTTTCTTTTTTTTTTTTTGTCGAGCACTTGATCTGTTGGCGAATGAAATCTGAGAAGGAACCGCAGGCCCTAAGTGGCCGTAATTTAATTGATTTTATCATAAATCATCAACTTCATGAAGAAGCAAAGTTTTCATTGAAGTAAATTGATATTAATGGTCACTTTCTGAAATACAGCTGTATAGATCTCTATGTTGTCGGTGCTCGCAATTCTCTTTTGGGACAGGTTTGGAAAGGGGGGGGGGGGGGGGGGGAGTTGGGATATTTTTCCAACCTTCCAGTTTTCTTTCCTCCCACTCTTCTTAAAAAACGAATGACGTGCAGATCTCTGTCCTGGTGTGGATGGGAGGACTGGAAATTCGGTTCCTCTTTGTGGTATTATATAGCAACGGGGATATCTCAGAGCATTGAGATGAGCTCTTTGGGGTGGATGTGACTCGAGCAGGCGGATTTCTATGGGTTCTTCCCCGAGTCACGCTGCCACCTCTGCCCAGGGGCTTTGTGGGCATAGATGAGCTTTTTCTGCCTAAAACACGTGTGTTACAGCGAGGCGCATCCCTACTAGAAGTAGAAATAGAGTTGAAAGCCTTCACTTCCATCTACGTGTCCTCTGCTGCGTTAAACATTACCCGTTCCCAAAGCTTTCCCACCTAATTAAAAATTAACCGAGGACTCGGGATAGATTGGAGCCCTTTGATATGGTGATGAGGATGTCAGATCAAATGCCCTTACAGTAAGAGGGGATTTTAGCACGGGGCAGTGGCTCTGCTGTGTGTCTGTCGGTGACTGTGGGATGGTTGCAGAGATGTGCAGTGAAGAGAGAATGCAGGACTGGCTTCTATCCTCACGGTTCCCTTTAGAAGACCGATATTTAGTGGGAACATCCCAAACCAGAGAAATACAATTCCTTAACACCTCTTCTTTACCCCTTTTCCTGATATTCCCTCGTCAGAAATTGATAAGCCTTTATGATGTAGCGCACGGAAAAAGGTAAACTGAGCTTATTTCTTCTCCCAGGTCCTTTCTCCCCCATGCTCAGACCGTCCAACAGCGCCCGTCGGGTCCCGGATTCAGGCGAGTATCATTGCAAAAATAACCCAAATCCTGCTTTTTTTTTCACATTGCGGTAGGATGGGTGAGGGGTGGGATGGCGGTGGAAGAAAACTTGGAGTCTTCCTCTCTTTCTCTCTCTTTCGGAGGAAGAGAAGGCCGAGAAACCCCACTCCGTTTTTCCTGCCCCTAAATACGGCTTTTCCCCCCATCTCCGTCGTCTCTGCCGTTCAGAGGAGCGGTGGTTGTTGAGGTCGCTTTAGTGTTGGTTCGTCTCCTCTGTCTTCAGGACAAAAGATAGGAAAGGGTGTTTTTTTTTTTTTTTTTGGAGGGGAAGGGGGGGAGGAGGAAGATAATAATTAAAAGAAAAGGATTAATAAGCAGCTAAAGGCCCCCAGACGCCAGGCCAGCCCCAACTGCGATAGGAGGGAGTGAGGGGTATCTCCGGCCAGGCAAGTTTGGGAAATTTGCTGATGGAGGAATTAGTGAGAGTGGAGAGGGAGCGGATCGTTTTCCCAATTCTATATAAAACGGGCAAAAGGTTGACGTGTCCCAATCACGTGAGAGCATAATTCAAGCCATTATTTTGGCATTTGGAGGGTGGGTGGAGGAGCGGGGATGGCGATTCTTCCCGTCTCTGCTGAGCTGTTCCCAAAGTATCGATTTGCAGAGCGCTGATAGCGCAAATTGCCTCCTTTGGCTCACAGCATCATCCCCACCCACACACCTACCGACCCCAAAATGCCCCGAAATCCCAACCCCCCGTTGGCACAGGGATGGGAACCTCGGAGCTTTGTGTCCTCTCTACTGTCGGTTCGTTTTGGGGTTGGTTTTTATAGGATTTTTTAGGCTTTTTTTTTTTTAATGATTTGAAACAATTCGGTAACACTTCCGCCGAGTGATCATTAACGTGGTGAGTTATCGCTCTTCCAAGCAAAGGTCATGGGGAGAAAAAAGTCTAATCTGTCAAGGAAAAAAACACTGCTCACTCCGCTTCATTTTGATTTCTTATCCTCATTGGCTTCTGTTTGGGGTACCGGGAGGTCCTGGTCCCTCCATAACTCTCCCCTTCCTCGGGCTGTCTGTTTGCGGGATAGGAGCGAAGAAAGCCAAACACTTTCCTTTTAGTTACTAATAGTAATAAGGATGAATCATAAAAAGGCCCCTGGAGGAGGCGGTTGGTGCTCGCAGGGCTGGGCTGAATCCGCACCGCCTCTGAGAGAGAAATTAATGCAAAGCAAATCGAGCAAAGCAGCCCAGATCAAAACAAAGAACGAGGGTTGGGGTGAGGGGGGGGTGGAGGGGGGGGAGACACCGTCTCCATCCATCCCTCCACTGCCTTTATTGCAAGGGAATAAATTAAAACCAAAGAGAAACAACCCCCCCCTCCCCCCCCTTTTCCCCCCGAGATGTTATTTATGCCAGATCCCCTCTGTTTGTTTGTTTGTTTGTTTGTTTGTTTCTCTTTTCCCTCCTCCCTCCAGCAAAGCGCTGCTCTCGGACGCGGTTCCCCCCCCTTTATTCCCCCTCCTTTTTCTCTGCCCTCTCCCCCCCCCCCCCCTCCGTTCCTAACGTGGGAGGAACGCTTCGGGACTCGTATTTCGTTTGCCGACTTCACCACGCAAAAAAGCAAAAAAAGCAAAAAAAAAAAAGCGTTTTTCTTCTTCTCTTTTCCACCCCCCCTTCGCCCCCATTCCCTCCCGACCCCCTTTACAAACGTACACTCCACAGAGAGAACTGGAAAGCCCCGGTTAAAGCGGGCAAGGCTGAGACGGAAACGGAATATTGCCAAAGCTGTGTATGAAAGTGTGAGAGAACGTAATAATAACCCTAATAAAAAACACAGCTCTCGGCCGCCGACGGCAGAAGGTCACGGAGCATCCGCGGCTGATTTATGGACTCGGGGATGTTGTCACACGCCGAGTAAGGGCGTGAGGGGAACGTTTTTATTTGAGATTAATAACTTCAACATCCAGAACGGAAACGGGATTATGAAAGCGACCGAATGTTTCCCCAAACGAAAATATTTTTAAATGAGATTGCTTTTTTCTTTTCCTTTTTTTTTTCTTTTCTTTTTTTTTTTTTCTCCCCTCCCCTTTCTTCCCTTCTCTGTCCCTTTTCTAAGTCCTTCCTATGAAAGTCGCTCTGATAAATCTCGGTGCGGCTCCAAACGGTTCGACCCGTCCGTTCTGTTGCCAAACCCCAAACTGAGAACCTCCACGTAACTCCCCCTCATTCCTCATCCCGACTCCTTCAGGAACCCGGCCTCGTGTTTTCCCTGATGTTTTACTTTTCTTGAGCCCAAACCCAAAGAACCGCGTGTGCTTCACCCCTTCAACGCGTTGAACTCGGAAATTACCGGCGGCGTTTAACCAAAAACCCTTCGGTTCTTATTTATTTATGACGTGGTTTTTTGTATTTTCCTGACGTTCGGGTCAGCCATCTCAGTCCCAGACCCGGGGTTGGGGGGGGGGGGGGGGGGGGGGGGGATCAGCAATCTCAAATTGACAGAAAGAAGCTCAGCGCCCACCGTCTGTGGTGCCACTTCGGTTACGGGCGTGTGGAAAGTGGTGCAACCCCTGGCAAAGCTGTACTCTCTTAGATGAGAGATATCCTCAGAGGAGATGCTGGGGAGAGGGGGAGAGAAGGGGGGGTTGTTATTAGAGCCCGTCTGCTCCCCATTTCCACCCAAACATTTCTCCGTGTGATGAATTCCCTTCGCTTTCCCTCGTCCACGCTTCTCTGACCCGAGTTTCATACTTTCTCTCTCTCTCTCTCTCTCTCTTTTTTTTTTTTTTTCCCCTCTTCAGTTCTTCTCCTTTCTCAAACTCCACCGCAGCCCCGTGTTTGCTGGACCACACATCCGGGAAACGGTGAGTTTTGCTCTCCATCTCCTACCTGCTCCCCTTCCCTGCGCCCACCTCCCTTCCTCCTCCCCATTCACTCGGATCCATTCCTCCTCTAAAAAAAATCACCCAACGTGTCTTTATTCCTTTCTTTATTTCCTATTTCCCCACCAAACACGGCTGCCCCGGATTACAGCAGAATATTTTCTTTCTCTATTTCGCTACCGCCTTGTCTTGAAACTTTTGTGATTTATGGCCGTAACTTCCAGGGAGTGTTTTAAATGGAAGAGATTTCCTGAGCTGCCTTTGAAGGGAAACCCGGTCGGGTTGCAACATTTGCTGCTGATTTGGTGCGAGGGAGATGCATTTTAAAGGCAAAAAAAAAATAAAAAATTCATCTGCATCCCAAGCTGAGATGGTAATATACAGGGAGCCCCAAAGCTGCTTGCAGCAGCCCAACTTGTATAGTTGCAAAGACCTGCTGAATGCTTTGGATTTCGGCTTCTGGTTTAAGGTTAATGCAAAATGTTGCACTTCGGAAGAGTTTACTTGCAGAGCCCGAGGTACTTTTGCTTGTCAGAAGTCAGTGGAGGTCCGTATTCAGAAATCTACCCAATACTTCACCTACAGAGAAGTCCTTAAAGAAAAGTCCGCTGTAGTTTCTCCTCATTCCTTGCCTGGAATCTCAACGCCGGGGCTCCAAACTAATAACAGACTTGCAGTAGAAATGATGTTTTCGAGCAGATCATGGTCAGACTGGGGGGTGCGGGGGGGCCTCAGTAGTCAAATCCCCGGACGAAAGCCCTTATTCTGGGGTCTGAAGGCAGAACAATAGCTGGAAACACCGTAGTCCGCGGGATAAGACTTTGTCCATCACTTAGAAAGCTTGTCTGTCCAACCCAGCATAAATCCTCTCAAAAGTCAGAGATGTTCACTTGGACACCTTGGGTTGGTGTTTTTTGTTTTTTTTTTTCTGTCCATACTTATTCGCCTAAAGGTGTCCCCC